CCGCCCCCTGCCTCCGCCCCCTGCCTCCGCCCCGTCCTTCCGCGCTCGCCCCGCCCCTCCGCGCACGCGCGTCCCCTCCGCGCTCGCCCAGTCTCTCCGCGCACGCGCCGCCCTAGGGGTCTAGCGCGCTGGAGCGCTCCGGTGGGGAGAGCTGTGGGCCGCGCGTGCGCGCCTGGAATTGGGGCGTCCCTCCTGTTGTCCTCCTCGCTAATCGTTTTTACCGTCAGTGACCGCCGAGGGCGGTCTACTCTCTGATTTCGGAAAGACAACGCCCAACAGGAGGCCTTGACCCGAACGGGAACGCGGCGTGTCCTGGCTCAGGCCTTGCGGCGGTGGAGTTACCCAACTCATGCTCTCTGATTGCGGCGGAGGTCGGGCTCTGTCGGCCCTCGCTCTCCCCATCCCGGTCGCGGACACCGAGGCGGTGGAAAGCGGTGTTGGGGCAGCTTGGTTAAGGGAGGCAGGAATGAGGAAGCTGCCGAGGGTGCCAGGCCGTTTCTGTGAGCAGAGCGCTGTGAGCGAAGGGCAAGAATGGCCAGAGTTAAGCCAAGAAGCGTCGAGCACTCGTTTTCGGGGCGACCTGGCCGAGGGGCACACGGGACCCCTGGAGAAAGTCGTGGCAGCGTCGGGGCTTGGGATGGTCTCCAGAACAGCTGTCTCTAAGCAGTTTTGATTGCTTACCCCTATCAGTAAACAATTTGGGTCCACCATTCAAATCGTTATTTAAATGCTTTAATAATAGATTATGTATTATTCTTAAAATACGCAAAACGAAAAATATAAAGGATGAGAGATGAAATAATCATGCTTAGCTGTTAATTACAACTAAACAATATTAATTATCGATTATGTGATGAAATGAGTATTTATAGAGAACAATGGACTTGGATTTTGCCTTACAAACAACTTTGGGGGCACGTGGGTGGCTCAGTCGTTAAGCGTCTGCCTTTGGCTCAGGTCATGATCCCAGGGTCCTGGGATGGAGCCCCGCATCCCCGCGTCGGGCTCACTGCTCAGCAGGAAGCCTGCTTCCCCCTCTCCCACGCCCCCTGCTTGTGTTCCCTCTCTCGCTGTGTCTCTCTCTCTCAAATAAATAAAATCTTAAAAAAAAAAACAACTTTGAAGTATAATTTATATACCATGAAATTCACCCATTTTAAGTGAAAAGGGATTCTTAGTAAATCTAACCAGTTGTTAGGCCTCCTTTTTATTTTTTATTTTTAGAAAGTGAGAGCATGTGTTAAGGGGGGGTGGGGGAAGGGGCAGACATCCGGGAAGAGAGAATCTGAAGCAGGCTACACCCTCAGCGCAGAGCCCAATGGAGGGACTCCATCTCAGGACCTTGAGATTATGACCTGAGCCAAAATCAAAAAGAGTCAGGCCCTTAACGGACTGAACCACCAAGGCGCCCCAGGCCTCATTTTTTGTTTTTAAGCCTTGGCTTATTACTTTGTGATTCAACAAATTTTAGGTTTGAGTTTGTCAGTGCTTTTTACAGTGCAGTTTTAACAATGTCATAGATGGAAAAATACTTAAAACAGTGCAGTTTTAACAATGTCATAGGTGGAAAAATAGCCCACGAGAATATGTGGGTCCAAATGGAAAAAGAAATTCCTTGTCGCACTTACTAAATCATACTTATTTTAAAAGACTTTCCAACAATTTTGACCTAAGGTTTTAATTAAAATTTCCATTTCCTGCTGTCCAAAAGTTGTTCTTGCAAACTAGTTAAAATAGATTGCAGTTTTGCATTTAGAACAATGGGCCCAAAATATTTCATGGACTGAAACTTTCCATTTGAAATATTTTAAAATGTTGGCAGTCTCGCCCTCCCCAACCTGCCCCCCCCCCGCCCCCCCCCCCCCCCCCCCCCCCCCCCCCCCCCCCCGGCCATGGGAAGCTAGTTTGTTTTTTACAGATGCACACAGTATTTTTGGCAACAAAATTAAATCCATATGGAAATAATCCAAATGTATTTTAAAATGCAAGAGTTATATATAGTGTATGTCTTTATATTTTTTTAATTTTCATTTGCTCATAATAAAAGCAGTTTTAAAGGATTTTATGGTTCATTTTTTCAATGTTGCCACATAACATGCTAGTGTAACCCAGTTGCTAAAGAGAAGATCAGTAAATATCTTGTTAAAAAATAAATACTGTAATTCATCTTTAAGTTGATAGCATTTGTATGGCACAGAAGATTTTCATGGTCTTTCCCCATCTTAATAAAATACATTGTAAGTAAAAGTTTCAACTTATTTGCTGTAATGGTTTGTCTATGGATAAAACATGAATTAATTTCCCCTGTGGTGCTGCCTTTGTAACCTTAACCCAGAACCTGCCCTCCACTCCCTTTATTCACGTCAAAATAATTCATCAGAGGTTACACTTAGAGTTTTTCCATAAAACATGGTCTTTTTAACTTTTTATTTTGAAATACTTTCAAGTTTACCAAAAAGTTGCAAAAATAATAGGATAACTCCTCCATACCCTTTGCTCAGATTCACCAAATTGTTAATATTTTGCCACAAATGAAATATTTCTGTCCATATATATACAGTTTCCCTGAACTTCTTTGGCTTTCTTTGATCTGGAGCTACCTGCCCTTGGTCTTTCACAAAACTGCCTTTTTTGTTGTTGTTAAATACAGGCCAATTATTTTATGGAATGCTACTTAATTTGGGCTTGCCTGATGCTTGTCATGATTAGATTCAGATTACATATTCCTGGCTGGAATACTGCATAAATTATGTGTTCTCCGATATTCCACCTGTAGGCACCCTATGTTCCTTAGACCCTCATGAAAATGCTAATTTTGATCAGACGGTCAAGGTGTTATCCAATTTCTCCACTGTATAGTACTATTTTTCCCCTTACAGCTAATCTGTGGAGAGATACCCCGAGGTCTTGTAAATTACCCTGCTCTTTATCAAACTTTTCCATCTAGAATTAGCATCCATTAATGATCCCTGCCTGAAACAGTCTACTTTGGTGGTTGTGAAATGGTAATTTTCCATCCCTGCTTCTCCAAATACAAGTATTGGTCGACATACCGTATGAAAGAGCTTTCTCTTCTTTCCATATTATTCCTATGTACTCATAGATTCTTATTGTATTCAGTTGGTTATAGTTCATTGCTATCCTTATTTATTAAAATTTTTAAAATTTCATTCCCTGCCCCCCCCTTTTAAAAAAGATTTTATTTATTTATTTGAGAGAAGGGAGAGAGCTCAAGAGCGTGGCCTGGAGGGAGAGGCTGAGGGAATGAGAATATGAAGCCGACCCCATGCTGAGGGCAGAGCTGGACATGGGCTAGATCCCAAGACCGAGAGATCACCACCTGAGGTGAAACCAAGAGTCAGCCCCTTAACCAGCCGAGCCACCCAGGCACTGCCTACCCCCATTCTCTTCTTCTTGGGGGTCTCATGATTTCTGTCATTTCCCTTTCCTTCTACCTCTCTGGCCATTCTTCTCAACCTCCATTACAAACCCACTCCACTGCTCCTCACTTAAATATTGGTGTCACTCATTGCTTTGTCACTTTGTCACCTTTCTTCTCACTTTAAGTGCTATCCACTCGTGGTCTCCTTCCCTGTATGAGTTCATTAGCTGTCATTTATGCTGATGGCTCCCCAAATTGTCTTTGGCCTAGATCTGGCTTCTGATATCCAGATTTTACATCAACCAATGTGCTGGAAATAGTCCCCAATTATTTTGCTTTCCGTATGAGGAGTCCAGTTCCAGGCCAAAATCCTATGTGTGATCTTTCAGTCCCAACTACGAGCAATTCCAAAGCTTTGCTTGGCAGGTGTCTTGGGGGTGCACAGCTGTTGGTTCATGACCCTCCCCGGAGCTTTCAGCGTCTAATCTGAAACTGGCTCCCACTACACGGAGGGCAGGGAGAGATCCAAGAAAGAGGCAGACCACCCTTGACTGGTAGGTGGCCGATTTAATAAGCAAAGGGAATTTATACATGAGGCTTGTCTCAGGCGGAAGCAGGACGAATGGATCCCTGCACCCGCCCTAACACCAAATCTTAAAAGTGGGTAAGAGGCCCTAACTGGTTCAGCCGCATACACTACGCAGGTGTTCTCAACGCTGTATCACCATCTCAAGGCGTGTCCTTGGAGCAGCCTCTGGGCGCAGGAAAGGCAAGCAGAACCCATATTCCAAGGACAGGGGAGGGGGTGAGGAGCCTCTGAGGAGCTCCCGGGGGCCAGCTCTCAGGACGGTTTTCTAGAGGGAGTTGTAGACAAAACCTCAGGCGGCCCCAGGCCAGCCCTGCTCGGAAGCATCTCTGCATTCCCCACACCTCCAGGCTGACACCCTTTCTCTGCCTTGATGCCCTGCCTTTGCACTCCTAGTCCCTCTCCCTCGCCCCACCCCGCTTTTCTTCAGGAGCCTTTGTTCGGGGATCCCGATCCGTGAGACAGTTCTCCCCAACTGCTTCACCCACTGGATTTCCCTGAGCAGTTCCGTGGAGGGGAAAAGGGAACCCTGAGGAGCCCGTGCCTCTCTTGCTTGGCCCCGGGCAGCAGTAAATGAATCAAGGCTTACTTTCTGTTTTCAGTTGGGCTCATGTCCTGGTGGGCTACCTGGACCCTCAGACGGCCCTTTCCATTTGAAAGCCCGTGGTCTCTCTTCAGCTAAAGGAAATGGAGTTTGTGAGCGTTTTGGATCTGTGGGTTTATGGTTTTCATCAAGTTCAGAAAATTATTTACCA